TGTATGCATAATTATTTTCAAAGTCGGACCGTGGACGCGGTACATTCCCAGACGTTTCGTCGGCATCGTATTCGGCATCGTCAGTGAGCCTTTCCATTCTTAGCACCCTACTACAATTCGTCAGAGACAAGTGAAGCCGATCCTTTGACTAACTGTCTGATAAAAATTTGTGGTATCTCTCCTTCTGTCCTGGGGTGTTCACCTATCCTATATCTTCACCATTATTTCTTGTTTATCCAAACGTAGCCGAAACCTATTCACATTCCCCTCTGGTTCCCTCACCCCTCCTGTGCTGGAAGTGTTGATCAAGGTTCCGTAGGATGCTTCCCTTATCTTCCTAGTTCAGTGATTTTACTCAATCGCCACCATCGTATCCATGCTACTCAAGGCGTTAAGTTCTACACTCTGCCTCAAGCATTTAGTAGAACGTATACGCCAGACTCACTGAGCAAGCCATTAAAGTCTGGATTCTCAAGTAGAATGGGTACAAAATTTTACACTACATGTTCACTTGTCAGTGCCGCATTCGCACCGAGGAAATCTTGTAGACAAGCTTTTACTTAATGAGAATGTACTAAGTCCATGATTCGACTCTGTAAATTATCATGCAGACTATGGATTCCGAACAACGTGCGTTCCTCTAGGTCCTTCTGCCAATACAACCAATTTTAGAAAACGAGGCCAAACAACTTATAACGAAAGGAGACCGCGACAATACTAAAGACCACACCATCTTGCTCTGCACAGCCTTGATGAAAGTAAAGTTAGCAAAAGCTCATACACAGAAATTTGTATAATAGGCCCGATCGAATTCAATTGTAAAGCAATGATTAATTCCCTATAAAAATGAATAGATTTTTTTAACATTTGAGGCAAAAAAGCCTCTGAAATTAAGATAGATAAATTACGAAGGTTTTTGGATTTGGAAGTCAAAGTCTATTGAAAATAATGTATATTATTGAAAAGGAATTTTTTGAGCAATTAGGAACATAAATGATTCCAAAAGTCCCATATTTGTCAAAAGTATTTCTCTGAGTTCCAAATAGGATAAAATAAATCTTCTAAGGATCCTATGCAAAAAATCACAAATAAAGACTCAGAAGTCCGGGGGTACTCCGACAGTTTATTTTCTCAAACTTACCAGCTGTCTTAGAAGAATTCTGAAAAGGGACTCAGTTCGTTCATAAGTCCGAAGTGTACATTAGCAATTTTCATTCATTTAATTTTCACGATCTATTACTATCTTTTCTACATTGCCTGAGAATATATCCATGACTTTCCCCAAAATAAATGTTTTTCGACTGTTTGCATTTTAGCAATATTCCCAGTTGGTTCTGCTTTTTTCCAGATCGTAAGCAATCAAAGCCCATTTTAGCACTAAGTGAAGCTTGAAATCGAATATAGCTCGAAATGTGCAGAATCGATGCCGATTTAATAAATAATAAAACCAAGGATAAAATAAGGCTGTTCAAGGCAAACATATATTATAGGTGGTTTGGCCTTGTTTTTGTTACTTTATTGTGTTGTCAGGGGGACATAGATAAACGCAACTTGCCCAAATTCCAATTATGTAGACTAGTATCTAGGTCTAATAATAAAAATGGCTTTATTCACCCTGGGTATCCTAGTGATTTAAGGGTTGATGGTTAAATTTCCTGTAAGGAAATGAAACTACCTTAAGATGAAAATAAATTTTGTGCAAACTAACCCTTAAAAAGTTATCGCTCAGGGTGGACTGCACTGTCAACCTCGCCTTAGCCTCATTGGACTCTTAACGTTCGCCAGCAAATGCAAGATCTGGTTTTAAATCCCATTAGCGCTGCTGATTAGACCGCAAGGAAGCTGCAGTTCATTCTATGTAAGAAAGCCCTTTTATAGGCAGGAATATATAATTCGTCCGCATTGCGTGGGGTATTCAACTGTCAGTTCTTAAATTGCTCTAATCAAACAACTAAAGTCACTATCCAAAACTACATCTCTAATGTAATTAGCAGTGTCGATTTTAAGAGCGAAAATAAATTTGCCTCGTCGACAATACTTGTATAAATATCGATTTCTTAGAAGCCTAGCTTTTCTTAAAGTCAAATCTGTCGTATGACTCAATTGAAGAATGGTAACGCTTCGTCATTTAAACGAACGACTTGATTTCCAATCACATTAAGGGTGGTAATGAAACCTAGACGAGGTCGAAGCTGCAGTCCATCCTGGACGAGAAACCTTTTGGAAAGAGAGAATAAGAAAAATTAAATAACATGATGAGGCTTATTCGTTTGTTTGTAGGAAATTCAACTACTAGTCTTTTACTCATCGTAAAAAACCCAAGATGAGTATAGCTCTTATCAAAGGACTATTGATAAACTCGAGGTATATTCACATGACTATAGATCACCAGATCGCCAGATCACTAGAAGCAAATCAATAACGAACCTGGACTCGCATCATCTGCTTCATCCCCCTCGTATGGTTCGAATAGAGATGCCTCTATCTTCTTTGCCGCTCGCCATCTCGAAGCAGAGCCGCTTTCACCCTCGTTCTTAGCATCCTCATCCTCATCTCCAGCATACTCTTCGCCATCTTCCATCACCTCACTCTCTCGTTCTATGTCTACATGAGTATTATCTAATCCTGTGGGGAAGCCAATAGCACGATCCGCTTCAAAATCAACCCCATTTCTTGGTAAATCTTCTTCTTCATCCTCATCGTCATCCTCTTCTTCATCTTCCTCCGCTTCATGATGACCTCCAGATCTGATAACACGCCTGGTTCGAGTTGTTCCAAAGTGCTGTCCACCACTATTGGTTCCGTATCCTCGCCCTGGTTGAGACGACTGAGGCATCTGCTGCTGGAGAAACAGTAGCTGCTGCTGTTGCTGAGGTTGTTGGAACTGCTGCTGTTGATGCCCTATGGTTGATGAGTTGTCAACACCTACCATGCTGCCGGGTTGATCCAAAATATTAAGGTCATTGACGGATTTGCTCTTGACGCATTGAAAGTCTACATGACGCGACTTATTCTCCTCAGCTTCCCAAGACATTCTAATGAACGGTCGCTGAGCGTAGTTATAGATGACTGTAAAGGGTGGATGAGTTGCAATATGAAACAAAGTGAGGTAAAAGAAAGAATAAAGGAGCCATGTGAGAGAAAAAGATTAATCAGGAAGATCGGAAATATCTTAAGCATATATCTGGATATAGGCATGCTAGCATAAATAGGATAAAAGCAAGTGTTATGGAATGAAGAGAGTAGTAACAGTGAAAGCATACTTAATAAAAAAGATAAGATAGTATAACTCCATATATAATAAGATTGAAGTAGAAAGGAAAACTAAGCCATCAAAGAATTCGGCAATCAAAAGAGAAAATTTGAGTTAATGGAGAATTAAAATATAATTTTCCAACCAAATTACGATATACGAAAAATTTATAATTATCAAAGCTACAAAACTAAGGCGAACTCTCAGGCAATGTAAATAATGTGCAATTTAGTATATATATATATATGTAATAGGAAAAAATAATATATATGTGGTGATACATCCCTATACCTCCCCGCTAGAATGGTTAGTTTGATTACATTACATACATATCCATGACTCAACACCTTTTGACACAAGACCACGTGAGGGTACTAATCACGGCTCTTTATTTCAAACCGACTAATCAGAGCTTGACGCCGTGACGTGCCTACATTGTGAACTAACAAAGTGGCGTGCAAAAACTAAGCAAAGGTAGTTTAAGTAACACACACTAGTAACACGATGCTACGTTTTTTCACCAGCCCTCTCCCCATTTCCACTGTCCCACTGCTTAGAATCTGCTATTAAGCACCGCCCTAAATAATGACTTTTTATTCTCAACACAATATTGTAATTCCACAGGTTTTAAATAGGACTACCGGTGACACGACTTATCCTCTGTTGTCCAT